CCTTCAGAACTGTGATAAATAAATGTTGCTTAAGCTACCTAGTCTATGATATCCTGATATAGCAGCTCAAGCTGACACAGACACCTGTTATAGCAAAATATTTTAATTTTTACATTACAACAACGTATTTGAAGTTTTAGCAATTGTTAGAAATTCAAACTCTTTTGAATCATTCAACAGCTTCTTCATCATTTGATGCTAATGCCGACCTTCCTTATTGCCAGACACCTTTGCTTCCATTAGTAATGGTAACTATTTCCTGAGAGAGATAAAGTTACATAGGTTGCCCTTCTGAGCACATTTTCTTCCAATATCTTAAGAAATTTCTTTTGTGCTATTTCTTTCATAAAGAATAAACAAGATGGTGTGTAAGAAGGGGTTTATTATAGTCGTGCATACATCGCAAGTATGCAAAAAACATTGTGTTTGTGTATATGTGTATGTTTTTGGGAGTGGGGTTTATTTTTTTCTAATTCCTGTTGTTTCTATCACTTTGAGTGCCTTAAATTGGTCATTACACCAAGAAAAACATGGGATTTTCCTCTCTGGTTCTATTTCTCCATTGCCATTCAAAAACCAAATACACAAAAAGCAGTTTCTTCATAAAAACCCAACTCAAAGTTAGTCATGGATTATTCAAATAAAAAATTACTTTTTGCTCCTTTAGAACTGAAAAATCGAATCTGACTGCTTAACTTAGATTTTAATGTCCTTATACCTACATTCACATATAAACAATCTGCTATTCATAATGTGCTTATTCATTTAGGAAACTTAAAAATATGTGCTGACAGGTGGCATTTGTGGTTACCAAAAGAATTAGGCAAGAAACTTTGAGTGATTATTGATAAGATAATGTTATATTCTAGCAAATGGTATCTGTGTACATGTGAAATAATTTCTGTGAAGGCGAATTCGTATGCTCTAAAAAGTATAAGAAAATTTTATGATAGGATATCAAACAGTTAAGAATGCAGACAAAGGAGTGGAGAGGCCATGCCAACTCATTTCTGAAACACTTGAATCATATTTGATCCTTCTTTTTAGTTATTATTTTTATATATATTTTTTATAAGTTCTATTATTTTTATAATGCATTTTTCTAGTCCATTTATTCTCTCATTCTTGCACATTGTCCTCTTTTCTTTACTTGCAGTTCCTATTCCGCATCTTGACTCTTAGCCAAGAGCAGTGCTTCAGTCAGCTTTGGACCCAGCAAGAGAATCACACCTCCCATCACATCTCCCATTGCCTAGATTGCAGGTTCTCAACTCTCTCTGTGCACCACGATCTCTGAGGCATCTTTGAAAACTGTCCTGGCCCCACATCAAATCACCGTCTTTATAGGTAGGTCCTAGATGTTAGAATTAAAAATAAGCTCTCCTTAGATGATCCTGCCAAGCAGCCAGGATTGAGAACAACTGCTAGAGATCATCCTAGCTGAAGTCAAACCTTTCCAAGAGGCACCAGGTCTCATCCTGGTGTGCATGCTGAAAGACATGCACCATTGAGTTTCCTGGCTTACCCCAGTGTCACCAGTTTTTCTCTCGCAAATAAATTATTTTTGTCACAATACACACTGGCTGTTATTTCCCCCATCATTAAAAAAACACCTCCTAATTTATCTTCCCTCTGCATTGATCTTCCCATTCATCTCCTCTTTATAGAAATCTCCTTCAAAAAGCTTTTTATATTTTCTGTGTCCGTTTGTATTTTCCCACTCTGTTTGGAACCCAATCCATGAATTGTTTGCTCCCAAAAATTCACCCAAACTATTAAGCTCCATATTTCTTTTTTTTTTTCAGGGTATTATGAGGGTACAAACATTTTGGTTACATTTTATGTCTTTGCCTCACCCAAGCAAGGGTTAGAGGCATACCCTTCCCCTCTACAATGCTCACCATGTCCTTTAGTTGTGAGTTTACCCACCCCCCATCCCCCCATCCATACTTCTAAATGCTGTGGTCAATTCCCGGTCTTTACCCTGCTGACAGAGCAGCAGCATCCAGCATAGTAGATCAATCTCTCTTCCTTGAAAATTTCTCATCACCTAGATCCCAAGAAAGCAGCCTTCCTCTCTTCCTTTCCTCTTTGCTGCTCCTTGTGATTCTACCTCATTTCCCTGAATTCTTCATATTGAAATTCTTCAGGACTCAGTCCTTGGACTTATAGTTTTATCTAATCTTATTTTCTACATCATTTTATCCATTCTCTGGGCTTTTGATATCATCTATATGCTTATGTGTTTCAGATTTATATATCTAGCCAGCATGACAGCCCCTCTTTTATTCTTAGCTCCTAGAAACATTCCTAATGTAGCTAATGGCATTTCATTCTTCTAGTTGTTCAGGGCAAAAAAAAAAAATTGATGTTAACTTCAAAGCTGTCACTCCCTATAGTAGGTAGGATTTGGTCCCCATAATTTTGCCATTTGGTGTTATGCCTGTGAATATGCTACATTCTCTGGGGAAAGGGAATGATGGTTACTTGTCAGCTGACCTTAGATTAGGGAGGTTACTCTGGCAAGCTCAGGGTAATCACATGGGGGTCCCTAAAAGGAGATGAGGGAGGCAGAAGATTTCGTCAGAGAGATGCAAGCATGAAAAAAGAAACAGGCAAAATATGCAGCATGAGAACAAGCATAGTCCCTGCCTTGGATCCGTCACGGCTGACCTTGAAAACAGAGGAGGGGGCCCCGGTCCAAGGAATACAGGTGACCTCTAGAAGCTGGGAACATCAAGGGCAGTTCTGATGAGAACCTGATTCCATTTCAGTGAGACCCATGCCTGATTTCTGATCTACAGAACTGTAAGATAATACACTTACAGTGTTTTCAACTACTAAATTTGTGATAATCTGTTCTGTCAGCAATAGAAAATTAATACACTCCCTACAGCCAGTTAGTCAGCATTTCCCGTCAGCTCTATCCTAAAAATATATCCAAAAATTGACTATTTCTCACCACACCCTTATTCCATTTTGGTCCAAGCTGCCACCATCTCTCACCTGGATTGCCGCTAGAGCCTCCTAACCAGGGTCCCTGCTTTTGCCCTCGAAATCCTTCAGTCAATCCAAACACAGCAGCCAGGATGGTCCTGTTAAGTCATACATGGTATCAGGTCTTTTTTCTGCTCGAAACCCTCCACTGGTGTCAGAGCTCGCCATGCAGGACAGCCAGAGCCCTGCGCATGACCACCCAGACGCCGGCTCCTCACCTGCTTGTCCCTTTTACACACTCTGCTCCCCTGCGCAGTTGTCTTGCTGTTCCTCCCACAGACTGGCATGGCCCACCCACAGCATTTGTACCCCGCTGAAATGCTCACCCCCAGATATCTGTGTGATTAACTCCCCGTGGCCTTCAGGTGGTCTCCTCAGCATTGATCATTCTCTATCAAACCATTCATTTAACCTTATTACTCATGGTCACCCACACCAGACAGGTGGGCATCAGAGAGGTAGAGATTTTGTCTGCTTCATTCACAGTTGTCTTTCATATGATAAAGTCCCAGTCAGTATTAGATGAAATAATGCACTTCTCCCATGGAAGATGACTCTCAGGTTTGTTCTTTTGTTCCTATTCCTGAAGCAACTATCCCAGCCCTACTCTCTCTTCTCACATGGAAATTTCATCAGTTGGCTCTTAGATGGTGTGCCTGCTTCCAACTCTCAGAATCACCCTTTAATCCATCCTATGGATAAACACCTCTGACTAAGCTTCACTAGAAATCATCTGTAGCATATAAATGCCCTTCTTAGGACATTATCATGTTTTGGGGAAAGCATTATAATTTATGTAATAGCTGCCTCTTGGTCTCTGGGTTTATTACTTTACTGCTCCAGATTTCCTTTTAACCCTAACTTAGACATTATTTTGTACTGCAGATATTTTGCCTAAGAAACTTTATAACTTTCCCATTACCTTTTTTTTGTGTGTATATGTGTGTGTGTGTATGTGTATACACACACACATATATATATCAGTACTTCTCAGAGTATTCTAGTTTAACTAGCAAGCCCATGAAAAACCATGAAAAGAACTACTTGAGTCTTCCTGTTATGTATAGCTATTATTGTATATAATGTGCTGTCAGTTTTCTTAGACACAGATCTGCAATTCCTATTTGAAAGGTTTGGAAACACGTATGTCGCTAAATTAATTATTTTTCCAAATTGCACAGGTTAGAAGACATAAATAGGTCAGGGAAAGTTTTACCATTAAATAAGCTACAAAAAAAATAGATTCAGAGTGTTTTAGATTTTAAATTGTGGTTAATAGATTGTGAAGAATGCTTATTTTAGATTAATTCAACCATTGGTTTTAGAGCCAATCAAGGTAAATTGATTTATATCTGTTTCTTTGAAGGCTTCTCCATGTATACCAGAGGCGGAATGTTTCTCTCACACTAGAACTGGGGAACGTAGATCATGAAAACAAAAAAGAAAAATCCATACACAAAAATACATGAAAGGTGAAAAACTTAATAATCTTGTGAAGACAATGGAGATTTGGATTTGGTATTCTTAGAAAAATGTGATACCACAAGCCAGTCAACTTTAAGGGATAAAAAAATTGACTAACATCCTGAGAATTTTGCGGGAAGTGAGTTTACTTCTATACCTACCTTTGTATGAGCTACTAATTAATCCATTTTGCAGTCCAGTATCATCATCAAAAAATTCATTGATAAAAAGGTTTCATTACCAATTTGAATGGACAATTTGAGTGGAAATTGCTTGCTTTTCAGACGGGCATTTTTAGAAAAACAAATACAATAACTTCACCAAAATTTTATATTATTTTTCATTTCATGAGGAGACAGGACTTTTAATGATGTTTTTTGGAATGAGCATTTTTTCCCTTTAATATTTCAGACATTTAAAAGAAAGCTGCCTCTAATATTTACAGGGAATTTATTCTCCCATTTCCCCATCAAAACACAGCAAACAATATAAAACATGAGAAACCACACCAGAAAGCTTTTTTCTGTTTTGTCACGTACCTTCTTTGTCATTGTGGTGGATAATTGCGTCCTGTATCATGTCAGCAAGGTTAAAGTGAACTTTCTGGATTTTCCCATGCTTCAGCCTTTTCAAGAATCCTTCTTGCTTCTGAAAAGCCTTCTCACGTTCATAATAGGCTTTGATTTGCTCACAGCGCATGCGCTTCACCAGACGCTGCCTTTGGCCCAGGGGAAGGGACTCCAGCAGGCACTGGTCAATTTCCATTTCATGGGATCGAAAAACGTTACATAGCTGAAAGCAACCTGAAAGAAAAGCATGTGAAAGTCAATGGACCTATTATCATAACCCGTACGGTAGCACTACAAAGTATACTTGATTTTGTATTACCCATCCCACAAGTCATAAACTCATTCAATTCTCTTTGCACTCGATATAAATACAAAGATGTTTGTATAGATTGAGGAGAAACAGAGTTAATGTCTTACTCAAGATTTCAAAGTGATCTACAGATTCAATGCAGTCCCTATTAAAATACCAACATCATTTTTCACATATCTAGAAAAAATAATTCTATGCTTTGTATGGAACCAGAAAACCCCATATAGCAAAAGCAATCTTAATCAAAAAGAACAAATTGAGAAGCATCGATTTACCAGACTTCAAGCTATACTACAAGGCTATAGTAACTAAAACAGCATGACACTGGCACAAGAACAGAGCCATAGACCAATGGAACAGAAGTGAGAATCCAGATATAAAACCACCCTCATATAGCCGTTTGATCTTTGACAAAGAAGACAAAAACATACTCTGGGGAAAAGAATCCTTATTCAATAAATAGTGCTGGGAAAATTGGATACCCACATGTAGGAGACTGGAACAGGATCCACACCTTTCACCTCTCACAAAAATCAACTCATGATGGATAACAGACTTAAACCTAAGGCATGAAACTATAAGAAATCTAGAAAAAAATGTTGGAAAAACTCTTGTAGACATTGGCCTAGAAAAAGAATTTATGAAGAAGACCCCAAAGGCAATCATAGCAACAACAAAAATAAATAAATGGGACCTAATCAAATTAAAGAGCTTCTGCACAGCCGAGGAAACTATCAACAGAGCAAACAGACAACCTACAGAATGGGAGAAAATATTTGCATGTCATATATCTGATAAAAGGCTGATAACTAGAATCTATATAGAACTCAGGAAAATCAGCAAGAAAAAATCAAACAACCCTATCAAAAAGTGGGCAAAGAACATGAACAGAAACTTTACAAAGGAAGATAGATTAATGGCCAATAAACATATGAAAAAATGCTCAACATCTCTAATCATCAGGGAAATGGAAATCAAAACCAAAATGAGATATCACTTATCTCCAGTGAGAATGGCCTTTATCAAAAATCCCAAAACAATAACTATTGGCAGGGATGCAGAGAGATAGGAACACTCATACGCTGCTGGTGGTACTGCAAACTAGTACAACCTCTGTGGAAAGTAATATGGAGATACCTCAAAGAGCTACAAGTAGAACTACCATTTGATCCAACAATCCCATTAGTGGGCATTTACCCAAAAGAACAAAAGACATTCTATATAAAAGTCATCTGCACTAGAATGTTTATAGCAGCACAATTAACAATTGCAAAGATGTGGAAACAGCCCAAGTGCCCATCAGTACATGAGTAGATTAATAAAATGTGGTATATGTATACCATGGAGTTCTACTCAGCCATAAAAACAATGGTGATCTAGCACCCCTTGTATTATCTTGGATAGAGCTGGAGGAGCCCATTCTACTAAATGAAGTATCACCTGAATGGAAAAACAAGCACTGTATGTACTCACCATCAAATTGGTATTAACTGACTTAACTGACCAACTTAAGTGCACATATAATAGTAACATTCATCTGGTGTCAGGCAGGTGGAAGGGGGCAGGAGGGGTTGGGTATATTCACACCTAATGGGTGCAGTGCACACCATCTGGGTGATGGACATGCTTAAGGCTCTGACTCGGGTAGGGCAAAGGCAATATAGGTAACCTAAATATTTGTACCCCCATAATATGCTGAAATTTAAAAAAAGATTTCATGGTAATAAAACAAATAATAGAATTAGATATAAATACATAGTCTTGCTCAACATAATTACTAACGATCCATCCTTTCCTATTTCTTTAATCCATACCAAAGGCCTATGTGTTTTATCTTTGTGTTAAACTCATCTGTCTAATTGAATAATGCCAACTAAACTTTACACTTTAAATTTTGGCAGAAAGTCATTCCAAGTTTTTCACAATACCCTAATGTAATTATTTTTGCCTATCGTGTTGACTAATTATGACTGTGTTAATTCAGTGTAATAGAATGTATACATGTTATCAATTGTTTATAGGATACAGTGGTCATTTTTCACCAATTTATTGTTGAACCCTTTTCCTCATGATCAGTGACATTCATTTCCAAGACCTAACTATGATTAAGTATAAAGACTGAGAGATGGCACAGAGATTTTTCTTTTTGCAACTCAAAATCATGAATAGAATTTTGGTTCTGTGGTCTTTGTTTTATTTTGATAGTGATTAACAAACTGAATTGCCTGTTCTGAAAGTGACAACATTCGCTTTCTTTCAAGATGCTATTTCTTATGAACACCACTTGAACTTGTAATGGAACTGTACAAATACTTATATTTACCACCAGGTTAAAATTTTACTATTGCCAGACAATTAATGTTAAAGCACTGAAAATTGTAGAATCTGGCTCTCAAGTACAGACTCAGATAAGTGTTATGTTCTTATGATATTTATGACATAGATCCCAAGCAAGTTAAAGTAACTTTTCTTGCACAAAATGTGGTTGATCATATGCCATAACCGAGAAGATCATATACTAAGGGTCTGCTGCATCTTTGGATAGGTATCCCATTAAATATCTGTAAAAGTAATGTTTTAAGTATCAACTAGCTACATGTGAAATGCTCCCTTTCCAAAGACCTAAACACAAACAGACAACGGCACTTCTGAAACAATGATAAATTGCTCCAGAGTATGTTTATTTGATAAAAGCCATGATCACTGCTACAAACCAATTGACCGAGAGAGCTCATTAATAAATAAGAAATGTCTTCTGTCTTCAATCTGTTTAGAAAACTGTTCTGGGTTTGATTTATTGACTTTGATGCTCGTGACACTTTGACTTCTGTGACTTTCCTGGCTTGTCATTAGATGCCCAGGGAATCATCAGAGCCACAAAAAAACCTAAAGACGTAAAACAGCATTGTAGTGTCATGTGCTGAGTAGCAAGCAGTTGATGGTTGAGGATAATCTAATAAATACAGCAGTCCTCTTGTTTTTAACTCTTAAGAAGGGTCTCATGGTGAAATTTTCAATTAACTTTTAAGGAATCTGCTGTGACAGCTCATGATTCATTGAGTAATTGTTCACAGGCTATCAAAAAGGAGTGCCAAGGGTTGCTCTTAAATTAATTTTCTTATTTTCCCTTATGATTTGGAAAATCAAACACCATGGTTGTTAAATTTCAAATCCATAAATGTATCAAATATTGATTTTTCTTGTTAAACAATTCTCCATGCTTTGATTTTAAGTAGTCTGAAAATTGATCGTTTTATTATCTGAAAACTTATTGGGTATTGTGACTTTTTAAAAAAATCTAATTACAAATAGATCACCTATGTCATGTATATATGCATCTATCAATCCATAAGACAGTACACTAAGAATAACAGAGTTATGGAAAACACAGGTTTGAAGCAGTCCACTCAAAGCCTATGGAACTTTGTAACCAGGGCACTAAGAATAACAGCAATTAATTAATATCTCAGGTGACGATATGGACATCCCAGGTAGGCGGGTGGTTACGGCTGCAGGAAGAGGTACATGAGACTGAGCTACGCAGGGTCAGAGTGCACCTCTCAGGCAGGAGTCCTAGGTGCAGGCACACATCTTTAATTGTTGCATAATGGAGTGACAGGGTTTTAAGTGGCAGCAACTGAACTGAAGGCTGTACCCTAATAAAGACTGTACTTCTTCCACTATTGTTGTTTTCTTTGCCTAGAAAAAATCACATATGAACTAACACAACTTCAATATTGTATGAGATCCCATTCTCACAATCATACACTAGTTAATGAGTATTACAAAGACACATGCCTCAAAACAGAGAAATTTTCATTGTTGTGGAAGAAATTGACTAGGTTTCTCTAAAACCAGTTTTTCTTCTTCCTCAACACATTAGTAGACATGATTTTTTAGCTTCCCATGCTTGCGACTACTCCTAGCATAGCCAATTGCAAGCTCCCAATGTCACAGGAAGAGCTGTGCATAATTAATTGGCCCTTGGCAGTCAGCGTGTCACCACATCATCTACACAACCTGGGAGAATTCAGCCTTTAATGTACCAGAAATATTAATAACACATATTCATGAATGACTTCCATGGCATGTTTGAAGCAAATAGCAGCATGACCCACTTCTCAAGTGTAAATAACTATAGATATAATAGTCTTTTCCCAAGATGTTTAACTGATTTAATCAAGTTGTAGTTTGAGTTACTGTAGGAAGTAGGTAAGTAACTCGTATACTTTAAAATTCTTAATCATCACTTCATTCACTTATAGAAGGCAATGTAAAATAGTGGAAAGACTAGAGAAATTAATTCCACTCTTAGATATATTTCTTATCTATTACTTACAGCAAAGATTTAAAAAAAACATTTTTAAAAGGAGTTAATAAGTCAAGTGGCTGATATATTTGAAAAATGGGAGGTAGTTTGTAAAAAGAGTCTGGCACAAAGTAAGTAATTGATGCATTGTAATTGTTATAGCAGTAACATTATCAGGATCTGTGTCCCAAGTGCTGCTATGGAGTGCGTGAAGAAAACCTGAGGGAGGGACTCTATCCTGCTGACACTCCGAAGCTCTCCCCTGTTTATTTTCTGTTTGGGTCTCCAGTGAGTCAGGAGTGTTCCAGATGCAAGACCAATACACTTGCTGGTCCTTTTGCCTGAAACGCTCACCTCTCCAACAGCTGAAGAGGGTGGTCAGCACCCACTCTTCCTCCAGCTTGTCCACTCAAAATCCCCTTTTCATAAGACTTTCACAGGCCACTTTCTATTTGCAAGTGTCCCCTGAAAAATACTTGCACACTTATTCCTTGCTTTATTTTTCTCCTTAGTATTCATCACTCTGCAATATACTTCTTCAATGTCAATTACTGTATTTAGATCATACATTATACTCATACCAATACTAATC